CCCCACTCGCACGCATGCACACCTGCATCAATATGGGAATGACCTACTTTCGGCATAGCTGGGTTAGTGTGGTGGTGACGTAGTGCTCCCAGCTTCGTCTCCCAGGCATCTGAAATCCAGTCCCCAGCCATCGCTTCTTCCCTTTATCCGGGAGAATATGTATATGCCTTTCCTGGAGCCATCGGTACATGAATGTACCAGGGTAAGTGTTTAGAAAAAGGCAAGACCACATGAAAGGACCGATTGCATCTCCTCCCTGTGGAATCGGGCCAAGGTCACTGCATTTCAGTGGGAAAGACAACCAGAAGGTCAGCAAAAGAACCACAAAACCAAACGAAAACATGTCAAAAAGGGAAAACTACCCAGGAAAATATTGGGCCATGAAAAGAAAACCAGCCTTACAATGAAGAGCTCTTTTCCTCTTACCACCCCAAACACCAGCCCCTCGATGCTTACTGTTTCCCTCACCATAATACAAACCAGGCCTCCACGCCGGGAGCCCGCGCAGCTGCTGCTCGCAGAGAAGCTGGTGACTCAGTGATGTGCACGAATGCCTACGTCCTGATTATTTTGGAACAAATCAGATACAAAATGTGAACAAAAGCAAACAGTTATCTGACCACAGAAATGATGTTCACAGGAGTATCTTGGGAGCTGTACTGGGAAATGCGGGATACGTACAGCACTGTCAAGGTCCTGCAGCACCGGAGTGATGCGTATGCTTACACCACATGTGCCCCAATTAGTAGGGTTGGTGTACTGCCTGCCCCATGTGCTGGTTCACTCACACGACCACAAGCAGAGCAATTTCAGGAGAGAGGATTCAGGGTGCGAGTTTGGAGCTCTGGGCCCGGGGAGGTCCAACTGGGCTAAATCAGTAGCGATGCAAGTCCACCAGACAGGTGGAAAGAAAGAGGGCCCACTGCAACGTTTGCCCAGAACCTCATCAGAGCTATCTCCAGCTGCAGTGTTTGCCCAGAACCATGTCAGAGCTATCTCCAGCTCCATCTGCAAGTAGCAAGGATGATGTTTTACAGAGGAAGACTAAGGAGAGCTGCACCGGCCTGGGGGGAATAAAAGAGCTTCCTCTGAAATGCACTAGAATTGGCTTTTCTTTCAGTCTCCAGGCATGATTGAGATTTTCAAGACAACAGTTTTAAGATAGCTCTTTTCCACAATACATTTCCTTGAAAATAAGTAAAAAGTAAAGCATAAAAAAAGTGTTAAAAAAACAGTAAAAAAATGAAACTGGATGACAGGAATAGTTAAAAGGTTGTTTCACTTCCAGTTCCACAAGATACTCGTGGTGATGTGGGCAGTTATTACCTTAGTGATGCAGCAGTGTCATTTCCACGCTGTAAAATTAGTATCTTTGCTTCCTTCGGTGCAGGAAAACCATAACCAGCAGATCAGCACAACGTGGGGGCAGAAAAGGGTTGCCTGCTGACTCGGCAAGCCTCAGAGCTGCCCATCTGGCACTTTGAACCCCATCTGGGAATGCTCTCTTGTCACCAGGTCCAGCAGACAGGATCGAGCACAGGTCTAGGAGGGAGAATGATCTGTGCATAAACTAATCTCACAAGTACCAGGAGCTGCTGATACAGTTTATGTGTGTCCTTACCTTGCAAAGTTACCAACTCATCTCCTGAAGCTGAGGTTTAGGTTGTTGTTGGCAAAGGGGGAAAGACAAGAAGAGCAGATCAGAAGATTTTGGTGACAAGAGTTAGAGATCCTCAGAGTTCGCACTGACTTCTCCTCAGTCCCAGTAATGGGCAGCCGGAGGGAAGATGGAAAAGCCAGGACTGGGCTGCAGTCACTGAATCCAAACCCACAATTGCCTGAACACCACAAGGCAATGAAGAACATAACATCATTTGAAGAACAATTGTGGAATGTGTATTATACTTTATACACAGACAGTCTTTGTTGAGGTAAAACTTGCCCCAAAGGTGTATGTCTGTACGGGACTAACTATGTCTTTTTTAAGTGTGCAATACAAGGGCTGAGCATTTCCTGGGGAGAGACGGATTAGAAAGACATTTTAATGTCTTATTAACAAGTGTGTGCCCTTTCTGGGACGAGCACTGTGCGAGGACTAATATCATTAGAAGAAACTGGTTAAAAGTTATTTCATGGAGTCGGACTTTACAGGTAGCACGAGCTGTCAAAGGGCAGAGCTCTCAGTTTGGCTTTTTTTAACTCTCCCAACTAGAAATAGTCCTTCCCCCCCCCGCTTTTTTTTTTCCCCCGAAAGGAGGAGATAAGCAGGCTGCGTTCCCATGCAAAGAACCAGGAGACGCTGTGACTCCCCGTGCCACCTTCAGCCCAAGGCAGACGGCGGGGAGCGGGAGGAACCCGCGGCAGGGCCCGGGGGCGCAGCAGCAGGAACGCCGAGGGACGCCCCGGGCCCGGGGCTGCAGCGGTTGGGGCGGAGCGGGGCGGAGCGGGGCGCGCTTCTTCCGCGGGGGCGGCGGCAGCGGCCCTGCCCGCGGGCTGCGGGGGCGCGCTCGGGGCTTCCCCCGGCGGGGGGGAGGAGGGGGGGAGGGGGCCGCTGCCGCTTCCCTTCCCGAGAGCCAGCGAGCCGAATTTCCCGGGGTGTGTACGGTCAGCAATAAAAAGAGAAACGCACGATCCAAGTTAATTTTCCACCCCCGAAAGGAAATGCTGCTTCCTGTATTATGCAAGGCTGGTGCCAACAACACTGACACAGGAGTCTATTGTCTTTTTCACAAAGCCGTGGTGGGGAAGGACGCCTGAGAAAATAGTCCTTTTTGCAACAGCAAGGAGCTTTTGATCTTTGGGGGGGGGGAAAAAGAGAGAAAAGCGGGCGTGCGCGGGGGGCTGGGCGGGACGCACCGGGGGGGGCGGGGCGA